CTTCCATCACCCTCTATAAATGGTAAGTGCCAAAGTATTTAAATGAAACTCACCAACTGCAAATTTGAGAAAATTCTAAGTAAAATGACAAAGAAAATGAATCAGTTGCTGCTTCAATTCTAGCCTTGGTAACAATTATGCACTTTAGGTCTAAAATCCAAACCATACAAATATTGGAAAACGAAACAGAATGGACTGATTTTTTTCTAAGAACCAAATTGCTACTTTCAGATACGGCTTCTGGCCCGTAAATAAAAACGGCCGCCGGAATATGGAAAATGGAATGCTTCGGTCTCACTGATAGGGTTGCCCGGTTTGCACAACCGTGAGCGCTAAAAGCAAGACAAAAAATGTTGATTAATAGTTTAAATATCTACAAGGCTATTCTGCACATGAATAACGGCCGACTTCCTCGGAGATTATTTTTATCAAGAGATTATTTTTATCATGTAGAACTATCTGCCACTTCTGATGTGAGCCCCTCCCTTCTCTGTGTACATTTTCACGCCCTATTTAAAAATTTAATTTACCTCCACCTTATATTGTCACAAATCCTTAAATGTTTGCGATCAGTTGCGCTTTTGCTACAGTAGGTTCTGGAGTTTATTACTACAGGAAACTAGATACAGATAAGCAATGGTGACCTATTCGGCTTTCATTTTCATGTAAGATTTAAAAAAACATGATGAGACAAACTTCTTTGTGAAGTCTTTCTGAACAAGTCAATAAATCGATTATTTCTATTTCTAGAAAAATAACATTTCGGGTATTTAAGTTGGTTCCAGAATAAATCATCTTAATGGATTCGGCGAACGTTGTTGATTTTGATAAACATCCACATAAATGATGTCAAAACAAGCTGATCGAGTGTTTGTAGCTACGGAACCAAAAATAGAAAAACCACAATTTACTTAAATACGCAAGTATGTTTTAAAGGTATTAGTTCAATGCCGCCCTTCCGATGGAGGAAAATTTTGAGCATGACAGTTAGCTCAGTGGAAGGAAATCAACGCTGATACACACATTAAGAAAGCACAGCACTTCTTTTAAATCTGGTCTAGTCTAAATCTTGCCAGATAACAGTTTTTCTTTCGGTTAGTAAGCGACCAGACACAACAGATTAAGCAACAACGTATACGCCCAGACTTTTTTCATCACGAAATGACGCAGATACCCATCGACTTACGTCAGAAAATCTATGTTTAACCGGCAAAGCCGGAAAAAAAAAATTGTTTGCACGACTCCTTTACACCTTCAACCGGACATTACCTCTTCTGTTACGTCTTTGATAGCGGCGGAAAAGCCCAAAAAATAGTCGTAAAATTAGGGATAGGCAGCTAAGCACAGAAGATAATTTAGAGGAAGAATGACATTTAGGGAGAGGCTGGAAACTACCTCACAACAAATAATATTTCCCGCTGGATTACACCAGCAAAGTCAATTGTAAGACAGATTCCATGACTAACGTCTAGTAGCAATGTAATCTCGCTCACTTTTAAAGAACAGCTTCGTTGCGTTAACGCTACAAGTGTCTTTGTTAACTAGATTGTAATTTTTTTTCGTAATTTTCAAGTTGCATGTTGTTTTGAAAGTAAGCCGTTTAGCCGCACAATCAAAGCCGTGCAACATAAAGATGATAACTCTAACCATAAAAAAACAAAAGCATTACATCAGTCCAAAAATATTCAAACAACAGCCGTTTTTCATCAAAGGAAGAAAACATGGAGACCATTATCGCTTACTCTATCTTTGAATTTCCCCATGTGGTTTTTTAGGCGTGTCGCCCTCATCACCGGAAATTGCTTTCTAACAACCGCTCTTCGTTTGACTTCTAATCAGATGACAGTCTCTCTTCCTATTTCCCAATCCTCGAGCGGACTCACTCATCCCAAAAATTCCCCTTAGTCACACGTGTGCCAACTGGAATTGTTATGTCTCTGAACAAGATACTTTGCTAGCAATGTATTGTGTCCCTGTTACACCTGGAAGTGAAAACGCTACCAGTAACGATCTAGCTCTTCTCTATATAAACCGTGAATGAGTACCAGTAGTTACACGAGGCCTTGGTCTCTACTACCTAATTAACCAGTTTGGAAAATTCTTTGAGATGAGTGTGTATTGACGTTAACTAATGATATATTAACTCTCAGGAAACATCCTTGTAAAGCTTGTGCCATTTTTCGATATGCCTGCTCGGAGATTCGATCATTGACTTCCACTGCTCCTGCCCAGACCCGAAGGAATCAAATCCAAGAATAGCCGTTCCTAAACTCCCGCCGCTAGTGTTGATCTCCGAATGATTCACTATCTTGAGCACCACGGTTGTAAGCGATATCTGGTCAGCGGAAATATTGAAATTAAATTTTTCGTTGTACACGGGATTGAGGCTCCGTCTCTTCACGCGCGTATTGGCCTTAGATAAGCGGACACCGTCACAGTAAAGTACAAGCTTCACGTACGGGTCTGTAGACGAAGAAACGTAAAAGTTAAGGTGGCTCTGTTTGGTTGCAAACACAACAACTTGAAGTTCATTTCGTATGCGCCGTTTCTTTTTGTTGTGTTATCTCACAAAAATGCATCAGGTGTATTCTATATAATTAATATTTTAGGGTTGCTAAAAATAAAAATAAAATGCTTATCGACCATTGATCATTTGTTTTGTTGAAAATTAAATGAGCCTGCAATAACTCACCTGTACGGTCAGCAATTGCTTTCGGTAATCCCCGGATCTTGGTTACTGTTACGATAAGTCGACCGCTGATCGGTCGAAAACACAACGATACACAGAGTTCTCCAATGTCAGCGGCTTCCATCTGATCAATAAAAGACAATCGAGAGTAAATCTTGTTTAAGTACGGAGTTTTAATTCATTATCCAGCGAAAAGGTGATGAAAAATAGGAACAATTCATAGCTGAAGGGTGTTATCTTTATGTTGAACCAAACTCTCTTCATAACATTACAAAGAAATGTATATCAGCTGGAATGGAGAATTGAAATCAGATCATAGAACTTAAATGGTTGAGAGGAACAGACATAAAAAAAAATCATTAAAGAACACAGTTGTCTGTTTAACTTACCCCGAACGGAGGTAGAGGGGATAGGTACAGCCACTTGGTGATCGAAAACGAGGGTCTGTTCTCCATCAACTTTAACTCCGACAAAGGGAATAGTATTTCTCCTATGACGTCATCTGCATATCGGTCTTTTAATTTGTCGTGAAAGTTCACCACTCTGAACTTCAACTCGTATTCTTTGATCCTATCCTTTGAAAAACCTGAAATAACAAAAGTCTCGTTGAAAACAGGATCTGGTGTTCCTTCGATGATTTTTGTTCTTTGCCAGCAGAACTGCTGTGGTAGTAGCGATATCTTCACCAGTGGGTTAATTCCTTCCTTGTTATCAGTTATAGGAAGGCCCATGGCCTTTATTATGTTCACTTGAAGTTCTGTTTTAGCAACATTGTAGTGAAGGGCAAACCGAACCTTTCCAAGTTTTCCATCCACGTTATCAGGCGATGGTGTTTGATCTTCTCCTATGAGACCTATCTCTTTCAAGTTCATCGCATTCGGGTTATTATCTGGCAAATCTAAGTGCCCCTTTTCTGGTGTGGATGTGGGAATAGAATTCCCTTTCTTTCTCTTCCCAGGACTGTTTTCCTCCCCAGAAAAACCCGAATCCTTGTCCTGTTTAAAACTGCTGTCTTCCCTTAACACCTCTTCTTCAGTCTTGTCCAAGTTATCTTCAAGTGACGCATGTGTACTAGAATCAGATTCTTGAACATCCGGGGTACATACCGTCACTTTCTCACGTGACCTGTGATCAGTCTCGTCTCCAGAGACAGAGCTTTCGTCATTGAATGTAGTCGAATCGCCATTTACAATTTCATTAGAATAGTTACACAGTCGATGGTAGTAGTACCTTGTAGGAGGACAGGGAAAACTACGGTTTTTCGTCTCTTGAACGTTCAAAGATACAGTTTTAGGGAAAGAAGAGTCTACAATCTTGTCTCCCATGACGAGTTGTATTTTTTGCGAGGCTTCTTTCGCGGTAAGCGCACGTGACTTTTTCCCTGTTATCTTTTTGTAGGCGCTGACTCCTAGGACTACTAAGAGGTAGCCGATGGCGAAGCCCAAGAGGATTGGCAGGACAAGAATGCCGAAAAGACATAACAATCCCGTGTTGTTGGATGCAAAGCGTGTCATAAAATTAGCTGATTGTGGTTTACTGCGGGGATCAAAGTCTGAAAAACGAAATAAAAATTATGCTTGTTTAACTTAACGGGAAATCCATGGCGTTTAAAACGCAACTTGCCAAGTGGCATGAAACCATTCCCTTGTTGACAAACATAACAAAGCAACTAAAGCTACTGAAGAGCCATGGTGGAATAATTAAATAACACCACTGATCTTAGTGAGAATATAAAATGAGAACAATATTCCCTGCACACTTGCGAGTAAATATTGTTAGCAATAAACTGTAACTGAATCAGTGATTTTCTTAATTCGTCAGTAAAACGGCAAAATGCTAACTCCAGAGAAGGAGAAAATCATACAAATAAAAGACATCGCGGAATTTGAATTGGTCAAAGAGGCTTAAAAATCTGGCCCATCTGTTAGTTTTCCCGTTACTACGGTCTAAAGATAATTTTTACCATTTCAAAGCCTGCAGTTTTCGCGAAAAGATTATTTCGAATTATGATCAAAATGATAAATAGCCAAGCTGATGTCAAATTATTTTATCGGCCCATGACTCTATCGAAATCATTTTTTATTTTTGAGCGGGCCGGGTAAAAAGCGGAAACTCTCGCATGGAGTTCACGTTTTTCAACAAGGCCCGCATAAGACGGAGGTATTGAAATGCAAACCAAAAGATGAACTGTTATTCACACTGATCTGCGATGGGAATCTAACATTGCAATAAATTCGCAATGATGAAGAGTTTTTCTGCCATGGCTATCAACAACTATTGTTGCATTGGGTAAATATCAAAAATTTTATCTTACATGTATTTCTTATTTATAAAATAGCGAGATAGACATTTCCCAGCTATCTTCATGCCTTCACAAAGATCCACCTTAAAATCCTTATCGGTGATAATTGTGTAACAGCAAGTGCTCAAACATTCACGATTCTTGGACGAATATTTTGCCCGTATCAAGTCCACTTTGATCCGAAGTCTTCTCATAAAAAAGTAAAAACCATTGACAACGATTTGATATCGCAGTTGCAATAAGAAATCTTTTTACAGGGAAGAGAGACGTTATCAATGAATTCATTTGCCATAAAAAACGTCTTACCGCGTTTAATTCTCTTACTGTCGTTTGTCCTGGACGACTTGTAATGTCGATGTGAAGTTGGAAGAAGTGGCGCCATAATTTACATCTCTTATCCAAGTTACGCTAAACCAGAATAGATTTACTACGAGTTTCAACTCCACCATCGCCGTGAATTCACTCTCTCTGTCCTCGCTATTTCTCTTAAATTCACTTCTTGTTTAACAACTCAGAGATAAAAAGTCACTTTTGTAACGATTCACCAATTTTTCATAGAGTGCGTTATAATTGTACAAACTCGCTCGAGCGCATTTTGAATGTATCATCATCAAAATGCATTTGCATATGAAAGGAGAGACGTGTCTGTTTTTATTATGTTTTGGCCGAGCAAGCGGCTCAGCAGTTTACACAGGTGGATCGAATTCGGTCGTTCAGGGAGACACTGGTATAGTAGACATTATAACAGAGTTGAAAAAAATTTACAAATATTTCACTTCTCCTGAATAGGCACATGGTGCATTACATGGTTTTGTAGTTGCACAGCAAATGGTGACGGTTCATGTATGCATGCAGTTCAAGTAAGGAGGATAAAATGTGCTAGAAACGCTCAAGTTCGTTGATGGTGTTCAAGTCTTCTTTAAAAAGATCTCGTTTTCTCTTTGTTTCTTGAGGACAAACCTGACTCTCAACTGTGACGGAAGTAAAAGTTACTATGCCTGGGCATCCAGAGAGCAAAACAACAGAACACATTTAGTATCAAAATGTGATATCACTACGACAGACAATTATTCTGAATAAGTCCTTCCTCTTTCACTAGATTTTCCCTATTTGCGAGTCTGGATCGATTCAAGCTTGGAAGTGATATCATATGGATCCAATCGCCAATTAAGCACCATCTGTATATAAACTGTAACTGCGATACTGCTCAACAACAAATTCATAACCGCGCCAAAATTAAACAGACTAAACAGTGGTCAGTAATTGGTCATTTGCTAGTGAAATGTCTCACAATTGGCACCAGGTGTGACGATTTGATCTTTCACCCCTGTCTAAGTATAAGCCATAGCTGATTTCGAGCAACAAATAATAAAAATATCTATGAATTTAACCACCTTTCAGCATTCAACGTTGCATGTCAATAAAGCATCTTGAACTTATTCAGAGCACATTCCAACAAAATCTTAGCGGCGGTATTAGGACCTCTCTTAGCAACGGAATATTCAGTAACCAAAAAAGAATTGAAGCATTTGCATGCTCCGAACAGGTGAAATTTAAAACGAGAAGTATCACTTTATTCTGTAAGAATGCAGTTAAGTGTAACACTTTGAGGTTGTGGCAAATTCATCAAACTTGATCAAACCAACAAAGGATAGAAAAAAACCAAATAGTTATAAAGATGAGAATCCAATTCCAGATCTATCTTTTTTAATCATCCTTTCGATTGAACTTCAATGATGAATTAGAAAGAGACGACTCTGGTTTTATAGTAAGGATTAAAAAATTCGTTTTGACTTTAGAACAGGATCGGTCAGGATCCTACAAGCTATTATGATTAAAAATAGAATTTCAGTTGCGCTAAACCAAGTTTCTTTGTCTTGAAATTGGCCACCGCTGCAGTGATCTTTTAAAAATATCAAGAAAAATAATTGTCATTATTTAATGTCCATTCTAACAATGTTTTTCGTGTGCTAAATCAAGCATTTCTTACCTCTAAAGGTCGGTAGCGTCATGCTTGACGAATCCTCCGATAGCCGCCATTTCATCATGGCGAAAAACAAAGGCTTCTGCCCAGCCTTCCACAAGTCGTGACGTCATCATGGCCACCGGCTCTGATCGACGGGTCCTACTGTTTTCCTCTCAAGCGCGGATATTCAACTAAAAACTTGGTCATTGAGTGTTTCACTTATGCTCGGAATAGCATGCATGGAAACTCGAAAAATGACATTGAGAAACCTAGTTGATAAATTGCTTGTCAAAATGCAGTGAGTTTTCATTTTCAATTTTTGCTTCCTCTACGCGACACACTGTCCGATATCTTTAGAGATTCCTTGCGATATTAGTGATTCAGGAGTCTGGAGGACTAAAAAAAAAAAATGCTTCAATTTATGGATCCTTATTTCATTAAACCTACGATCAACCTACAAAGCTGTTGGAACATTTCTTTCGCAATGACGGACTTGATTTTCACCAGCTTTTTCTAGGAAAAAGTAATAAAAAGGTTGTTGTCGCATAGTTTAAAGTCCTGGGAATACAAAATTCTATGCTGGTCAATTAGACAACCAGATAATAAATTATCTGTTAATCTCTGACTAGCCTGGTGTCCCTGTGTTCCTCTAATGCAGAATACAACGATGATAGCAAAATCTAAAGTTGTGACGTCACTGTTGCCATGACTACGCTCTAATTCACGCCATACCCGACGTCAACACGTGACCAGCAGAGGTGACGTTCAAGTGGAAGATGCTGGAGATGTTGATGGAAATTTTCTTGGGGTTGTTCCCTTAGATTATGGAAATACTGTCAAATGGAACAATACAGTATGCTTTGAGTAAGTAACACTAAAGCGTGCTTATTTAGGAAACTTTATGGAAATTAGATATAATGATTGATACAAGCGGTGTTTGAAGGTTTAGTGCACACACAGCATGGACATTCTGCAGGTCACGAGTGCACGTTTGCAACCAATTTTTGTCTGGTAAATTTGATATTTGTTGCAAAGTAAACTTCTTTAGGTAGCAACTATAGTCCTTACTCTTTAGCTTAGAACGTCCATGCTACAAAACGGGATAACAAATGTAGCAATAGGTTTTCTACTGAGTTAGCTCAGGGCGCTGCACTTTTGTCAACAACTGGTATTAGCAGTATTTCAGTCTCACCCTTTTTTATGGCTTTCGCTTAACACTGCTGATAAACACCAACACAGGGTTTGGCGACAAACCCACCAATAACACAACCGTTCATAGATGGTTCGATAAAGTCTATTATAAACGTCAGAACTTTGAAAATTGCAATTTTTGTGTTCGCGGAGAAAGTTCTTTTAAGCTAGCTACGCCCATCTCTAAAATAGGCATTCCCAAAGGGCGTGAATACAGTTAGTTACACGGAATGACATGGATGTTTACACGATAAACTAATAATAATTGAGCAATGTGTGACTTAAAAAGATCATTAAATCTTTTCTTTGAAATGAAGCTGCATTTCTAATCTGATAAAGAAAAAGGAATGTTATTGGAAAAAATTTCCTTTTCTAGCTTGGCACGACGGGTGGATTGACGGGTGGCAACAATCATCATTTGTTTTAGGGGAGTGTGATCTTGAATTAAAAGCATGTCTTTCTATGTTTCTAATTTCGATTTTGTTCCTCTCACAGAGGAACAAGGGAACGAACCATAGCAAGATATGTTGGAAATCCTGAATAAATGTACAAAAGTTATTATTATAAGTCCCGTTCCTTCCATGATCTCGACTCCAGAAAAATAGCAAATTTCCTCCAAAAGTGTTTTTTTTAACAAGTTCTACTGTTAGCTACAAACGTGAGTTTTAAGTGATTTTGCTGAGAGCTTTAATAATTGTTACACATGTACTTTTTTCTGGAACTTTTCCAAGGAAGGAGAACCCGGTTAGGGTCATTCAGATAATTCGCGGGTGACCGATTTTCATTTTGTTGTAGAGTTTTTGTGAATAGGGAGATTAGGAATCTATGGGATACATTCTCACTGTGTTCCTAAGTGGTTTCCTTCTTCGTACTTTGGGTCTCATGAACATAGCCGAAAGAATATAGGTTCAATTATTTTTAAAAGCCTGTTTCATTCCAAGACAGAAATTATCATTCCAATTAAAATGAACAACTTTTTCATGAGTGCGGAATTAATTTTAGCCAACCTGTCTACAAATATTGAGCTTCCAAAGAAGTTATTTTTTAGTGTATAAATCTAAATTTTGTTCAGCGATCTATATCATTAAAAAAAATCTATCCTTTTATAATTTCAACTTACAACTTCTCTAGAGACTCTGAGTTATTTTCACGTAACCTATTTACTTTATTTCAGACCTTTCTGACCAGACCAGTGAGGAAACTTACGTCACACCACAGGATAATTCAGCTGATATCAGCGCGTTCTTTTTCCCCGCCATTGGTGCGTTTCTTATGCTCATGTTTGGCGGTTTACTTTTTTCAAGCGGAAGTGTCCTGTGCAGAAGCAAAAAAATGTCGGAGGATAAGTTCAAAAGAAAATTTGAACAGCGATATGGGCGACGGATGATTCGTTTTCATAACATACCGGAGAAAATTGCAAAAGAGCCATCTTCTGTGCTGCAGCAAGAAAACAACGACGTCGTGGATGCTGTTAGGAAAGATTATCAAGACCTACCACAGTACCAACCAGTCACTGGATTAGTTGGCAATATCGCGGGATTACTTGGGCAGACATGCGTCGTCAACATATCCAAGCCGGAAATCAGAGATACAGGTGTAAGTCCGATTCATTTCAACGCAAAAGATCGCGAAAATTCTTCGTATCAAGACAGAGATGACGGGGTAGAATGTTCTAGCAAAGACGATTGCGCGCGAAGAAACCCCACAGCGTCCAGTGGAATAGGTACAGATTCTCCGGAGAGTTATGAAGTTGATAGTTTAGAAGAGTATCCTATCAGTGAACATTGTTCTTTAAGTGCTCAAGAAGGAGAAATATATGAGATACCTGGCAGACATCAGACGCCTAAATTTGACCGTGGGGTGTATAGTGGTGGACGGTCAAGTGTGCTGCAGTTAGAAAGTGCCCCAAGTACTTTATGCGTTAAAGGCTGTCGTTGTCGCATACACGGCGCAGGTGCTGACAAAAAGAGAACTAAGGAAGCGAAGCCTCGCGTGAACTAAACACGACTTACTTGGGGTGATATTGCACGAAACTCGAATGAAATTCAGAATCATGGGAGTGAAAATGACGCACATGCAACGTTGAGTGAAATGATAAGGCCTCAAACTCCAGGTGCAAGGATATCTGGTTCTCTAACTTCAGAGAATATCAAAGGAATGAGTCAAAGTCCATTGGGACGCATGGATTTAGAAAAGTGGCTAAACGATGTGGAAGCGTCCCGCAGTGAAGGAGGAAAAGTCTGCACTTCAACATCTGAGTCTCCTGACGAAGAAATTGGGAGGTGTGGGAATGCAACGCATGAGAGAGATTCTTATTCGAGCCGAAGACGAATGCGTGCACCTCTTCAGGAAAGTTTACAGTTGTTGGAAAAACTGCAGTTAGTTTCAGAAGATGATTTGCCCTTGGCTCAGAACTCAGTCCATCGTGGAGGTCGCACAAGCTGCTTGCAAACGGTAAAGGCACCAGGCTCACTGTGTTTGGGTCCAGGTAGTTGCAAAGGACATGGTGAGTTTCAGATGATGTCTAGGCAGTCAAATTTGCCAACTAAGATAACAGCTGATGAGAGTTCTGAATATCTGAATGACGATCGCCAGCTGGTTACATCAAGAACTGAGCGCCTCGCGAAAGGTGGAAGACAAAGTAGTTTAAATTTCCTCAGAGCGTCTAGTGAAATATGTATCTATGGACCTTCGTGTAGAGTTCATTGCCAGAAAATGGTAGCGAACTTTCCCTACACACCTAAGAAAGGTTTTAAAGCGGAATTACATTCTGAGCAAACAGAACTGAGAGGTGCCAGCATTTTTGGTGCATTTCAAAGTGAGGAAGGAGATAGAGGGATCATGAAGACTACGGCAAAACAGCGTGAATTTGTGAACACGGAGAACAAAGAGAATGAAATTCGAGGGGCTAGCATCTTTGGTGATTTTTGCGCTGTGAGAGAAATAAACTTGAGAGGAGCGAGCAGCTTTGCTGAGCAGCCTAAAAGTAAGGTCCATAGTGGTTGCAGTTGTGGTGATGTAGCGAATAATTCTCAATTATACTTGGAAGACAATAGGGGTGCAAGTTGCTTTGCACCGATTGATGAAAGTACATTTGGTACATCAAGCGTCACATTAAGCTTCGCAGTGGAATCCGATACAGAAAGTTTTGTTCTGGATAAAACATTGGGTCAGAGGAAAAGGACCGGGTCTGCTATAGAGAAAGATAGCGTGGTAGATGATAAGTTGACATTTGGAAAGAAATACCAAACTGTGGATGGTAGCATCCCAATTGTTAAAAGCTCAGAAAAAAAGGATGTTGATCTTGTCCAAAAAGAACATTCAAAACGTTTTGATGAGTGCATTTTAAAAGTGGGTAAAGACACTGAAATAATGTCTACACTTTTAAGCGCACTTCGCCGAGATGGGGAAAAACGTAAACTGCAAAAGGTCAACCAATGACCTAACTACCTTACGTGTGACAAGGAAGCTTTAGTAGGAAACCTTAAAGTGTCTGTTTTGTACAAGAAAGGTAATTCTGTCACCCCTTTGCTTTACGTCTCTATTTTGGGTCTTGAAGTTGCCCTAAATGAAAATATTACGCCAGACTGCGATATTTACGTAAAAGTTTGCCTATTTCCAAACTTCTCAACATGGCAGCGCACAAGGACGCTAAACATTTCGGAAAGCCGCGTTTTGAGAGACCATTTTGTAATATCTGGAGTAAAAGCAGTGGATTTAGGAGAAGCTATCCTCCGATTTGTGGTTGTTCGTGTAGAAGAGGACAGAAAACCCGTTGCTCAGTTGGACGTGTCACTAGAGGAACTTAAGTCATGTGATAAATTCAAAAGGACTTATACGCTGCGCGCGCCTACCTACAACACTGAGTATGATGGGACTACTTGAAATGGATAAAAATTGATTGAGAAACTACTCTGTATATGACTGAAGGAAGCGGAAACCCACAATAACTATCACTTTTAATGGAAAAGTGTTATATATATTTTGTACCGAATAAAGATATTATTGTGACTTTTGTAATATCGGAGAGATTATCAAGAAAACAGGTTTTGGCTTGCTTGAACATCGTAAAAGATTCAACTCCATTTTTCATGATTAAAAAAAAACCGCCAAACTTCCTCAATTCTAATTATTCTTGAGACTTTTCAAGCAAAGATTTTGTCTCTTTTAGAGTTTATCTTTTCTGGGAGCTATTATTTTGAGATTTCCTGCCAATTTACGTCTTACTATATTTAACGACCTAAAACAATTCAATATATCTCGACTGACGTACTCTTTAAGGGTCTACTCATCATGAAACCAAAAACAGATGCTATTTTAGTTTTACTTACATGCACAACAAGAGGATGTTTACGCAAGACGAAATGCTTCACTTTCGAGAAACTTGAAATTAGGAATCTTTCAAACTGTTCATAATAGATGGTTAATTAGCTTTCAAAATTTAAATGCATGGGGTTCATTCGAAAAGGGTTTGATTAATTAACCCTCTAATACCACCTAAATAAATTTATTTCACTTTACACCGAAACGAAACCGAGATTGAAGAAAAAAAATCTCTTAAGGCTTTCCTGTTTGTAGCCTCTGGACAAGCAGGCAGTTTAAGCCCAGTGTAACTCAAATATTTTCCTTTTTTTAACCATATTTTCTTTGTTGCCGAGAAGAATGTACCATTCATTCGAGTCTGTGAAGTGACATAACCTTTATTATGTATTTCTCGCCTTAAAGAGAAAGCTTTAAAAAATCATAGTTAATTATGAAAAATCTTATAGCGGCAGGTGCTTTAGAATGGTAATTGCCATTTTGCATGGAATGTTGTTTTCAAAGGTTGAAAATAAAACCAATCAAGGAATTCACTGCAAGACGTCAAAAATCGATGAAAATCAAACGGAAAGATAATAAACCAACAAAAAGTAAGCGATAATCGAGAGGTGTTTACATGACATCGACCTTGAGAGCTTTACATTAATGTATTGTGGTTGAATATGGAACGCGAGAAGGGGGTGAAAAACAGATTGGCGGTCCAAAAACCATCATTTGACATTGATCGAACAGTAGTTCATTTATTCCAAGAGTAATCTAATTTATTTCAGAGTAAATACTGTTTCTGGAGCATGTATGACGCAAAGAGAACTGAGTGGGTAAGCAGTGTTTTGCATAACAACAAACCCACGGCCGAATCCATCAACATGTTACGCACGAATGAATACGGAACTTTGAAGGTCTTTATGATGGACAGATACAAAAGGCTCTTTAATAAGCCTTATTTATATTCACAACTCATTTGTATCAGTAAATGACCTACTCGACCCCGCGAAAAGTCCAGGTAAGCAGAGCCTTCGACACGTTCACGCATTAAGAAGTTCCCGTTTGGTTGTGACACGAGAAGGCAAGGTTTTTTTACAGCCGAAAAAGGAGACATGACTTCAGAAACGTTCAAATGACGGTACGTAGGCAGGGTATAGTTAAAAATACTTAAACTTTGGCATGCTTTTAAATCTACGGTAAGTTTTGAAGAATTCTCTACTTCATTACCATTCATATATTTTGTTTTTTTCCGACAGGATCCCAGCGTTCTTGGTGTGATTTTGGGATCTGTGCTTGGATTTCTGGCCGGAGTCATCGTAGTCTGTGTTGGATATTTTGTTTATGCAAAGCGATCGGGAAATTATAGTCCACTTTCGCGGGATGTACGCGCCAAGATCGATTACTATTCCGCCTCAAGTCCCGAAGGCGCGTTCCTCGCCGCACAAACTCGACCAGTTCAAGTCCAACCAAATGTATATACGCTAGCAAAGTCTTCCGCAGAATCTTACCCGGAAATAACTGAGTTGAACGATGTTGAACAACAGAGAATTCGCATAACGAAGCCTTACGAAGCTGGCGCAATTACTACCATCCAAGAGGACAGCGAGGATGTTGAAGATGGGAGCGCTCGAAGTCTTCAAAGAAGTGGGTTGAGTGGCTCAGACAAGCCAAAACTATCAAAGCGAATGAGTTTACCTTCCAACCTTAAATCTGATGGATTGTTCAATCCTAACCCAGAAGAATTTTTAAAAAAGAAATTGTCATCAGAGGAGGAGGAATGTCGGCTTGAATTCTCGTGTTTTTACGATACGGCCAGTCGTGAATTACACATTACCGTCATTCAAGTTGTTGGGATTTCTACGCCAGACGAAAGTTTCTTGCGCCCGCCTAATTGCAGCGTTAAAATGCGCATATTACCCGAAATGTTGTCGTGGCAGTGGACGCGCAAAATTTCTCGTACCACGAATCCAGCTTTCAACGAGACTTTCATCGTACCTGGTTTTGTTCATAACAAATTACGAGAGTGCACCGTGCACTTTGTGGTATTGGATTTTGATCATGTGCAAGACAATGTTTATGTGATTGGGGAAGTATTCATGCCATTGTCAGAACTACGAGCCAACAGACTTGAGAAGATTGTCAAAAGAGTAAACCCGCTTTCTTTCTAAATTTATCGAATAATTTTTTTTTGTTTTGAATTCCGTAACAAAGACATTGACGATCGGGGGACAATATGGAAATTAAACACAAACAGGAAAAAATTCCTTTAAAATTAAGCCCCTCCAGTTTATGCGCATTTAAGCGAAGCGTTTAAGAAAAGTTTTCCAACTTATTTAAAATTAAGTTTACAAACGAATCACAGCTGACTTAATAATTTGAAAGAGAGTGACGTAGTGTAAAGATATATATTTGGAATATTGAGATCTTGACCCAAGTAATATTTCGTAAGTTGTCGAGGGCTGGGAGCCATCTATTTATAGATCATAGTCATTGTAATTTTTTCTCTTCGCCTTCTACATTCAACTGGAAGGATCTACGTTACTAAAGAGCTTTACCATTTCATCCTCAAATAAGACAACAAAAAATTTTAACTAGTGTTTAAATTGTTCGTAATAAATTTAATAATTTTTTTGTGTGTGTTCAATACTGATTTTCTATAATTATTTTAAAAGAATATCGTTCTAGCTTGCATATATTAATTATTGGCGCTTTTTGTTTACTGGGTGGCAGCAAATAAAGTCGTGTTAAGTAATCTCTGACCTAATGTGGTTTTATGAAATTCCTAATCCTGTTTTTCATCTCTTATAATCCTCTAGGTACAATTGTGGAATTTTCACTGTGAAAATGAATATGAAATAAGATGAGAAATCCTTGAAAATGGAAGCAGACATACAATCTTCGTCTATAAACTATAAGCTGCTAATATACCGTTGTATTTCACTTGTGGTCCTTGAGTGGAAACCGGAATTTTTATTGCGGTTTGTGAGAATCCGGACTGACGACTGACTGACTAATTATGATACAGTGTTTACTGCTGTAATAAAAAATATTGATCCGAATTCTATTTAAAAATCAGAGAAAATGGAGTTTACCATTAGTTAGAGAGTCCTGCTTTTCTGAGAAAATCTGATCTGTACCGCTCAGGTCCGATTATTTGTGTGAGGGGAGTCTGGGGAGAGGACAAAGCTACTCTTGGTAGTAGGCTGGGGACATTATGGCTCAACGACTTATTGGCGCGTGAAGGCATAATTAACAGCGACTTTTAAAAGTTCTATTAAACCGAAAAAGGTCGATTGATGTTTTGTTAGATTCATTTTATTTTGTTATCCTTCCTCTGCAACTGCAATGGCGATATGTGATTTGCATCAGGCCGAAACAGCTTGTGTCATGTTTCGGTGTCAACTCGTATTTGTCCAGAGCCGGCAAGGTCAATTGTGGTTTACATAATTCTACTAGCAACTATAAATATAAAGTCATCATCAGAAGATGGAGAGCTAAAATTCCATGTTGTTTCAAAACCTTCGAGTTCGAATTCAAAGGCTAATTTAATCCATTGCGGAAGAAATCGCACAATTGCTCGAAATTGAGTATAAATTTGGCGGCAAAAACAAGTCAATCGGTCACGCAAGCACGCAATCATCAAAACGGGCGAAACACATACAAGATTTAAAAGGTAAAGTGTTTACGAGCCCAGTGGCCCATTAGGCCGGTGCTTAACTCCGGTTTCTGTAGCATGAAGCGACTAGGAGTATTTCTACTCCTCCCTGGATGGGATGCCAGTCCATCGCAGGGTTACCCCCAGCATTAAATTGCCGGTACCCATTTATACACCTGGGTGAAGGGAGGCACTGTGAGAGTAAAGTGTCTTGCCTAAGGACGCAACACAATGTCCCGGCCGGGGCACGAACCCGTACCACTCGATCCGGAGTCGAGCACACTAACTATGAGGCCACCGCGCCTCCACACATACAAGATTTATGTACTAAATAATCATCCCTTGTGTTTAAGGGGGAAATTTTTCATTTCCTTATAAACCCATCAGTAATTTAAAACTCCACACCGCATCTCTTAATAAATTTCAGATCAAATCAATAGGA